ACAAAAGCTACCACAGATGGATAAATTCTTAGACACATACAACCTACTCAGAGTCAACCAGAAAGAAATTCAAAACCCGAATAAACCAATAACAAGTAACAAGATAGAGGCAGTAATAAAAAGTCTCCCAAAAGAAATGCCCAGAACCCTAAGGCTTCACTGCTGAATTATACCAAGCATTTCATGAAGAAATAATACAAATCCTACTTAAAGTATTCCAAAATAATGAGGAGGAGGGAATCCTCTCCTCCCAAACTCATTCTATGAGCCCTGTATAACTCTGCTACTAAAACCAAAGACATGACATAAAAAGAAAATTATCAGGCCAATATTTCTAATGAACATAGATGCAAAAACACTCAACAAAATACTAGGAAACTGAATTTAATAACACATTGAAAAGACTATTCATCATGATCAAGTGGGATTCATCCCAGGTATGCAAGGATGGTTCAACATACAACAGTCTTTGTGATACATCTTATCAATAGAAAGAAGGACAAAAACCATATGATCATTTCAATTGATGTTGAAAAGGCAATCAGTAAAATTCAGCATTCTTTCAGGATAAAAACTTTCAAAAAGTTGGCATAGAAGCAACTTACCTCAACATGCTAAAAGCCATCAATTGCCAGCCCACAGGTAGTGTCCTACTGAATCAGGAAAAACAATAAGCCTTTCTAAGATCTGAAACAAGACAAGGATGCCCACTTTCACCACTGTTATTTAACATAGCATTGGATCCTCTAGATAAAGCAATCAGATGACAGAAAGAAATGAAGGACATCGAAATGGGAAAGGAAGAATTCAAATTATGTGTGTTTGCAGATGATATGATCTTATATCTAGAGAAAAATAACTAGAACATATAAAGAGCTTCAACAACTCAACAGGAAAAAGCAAATAATCTGATTAAAAATGGGAAAACTCTGAATAGAAATTTCTCAAAAGAAGACATAGAAATGGCCCAAATATATGAAAAATTCTCAGCATCATTAGTCATCAGAGAAATGCAAATTGAAATTGCATTGAGATATCATTTCACACTAGTTAAAATGCCTTTATCAGAAAGACAGTCAATAACAAATTCTGCTAAGGATGTGGAGAAGAGGGAACCCTTGTACACTGTTGGTGGGAATGCACATTAGTGCAACTGCTATGGAGAACAGTATAGAAGTTCCTCAAAAAAAATAAAAAATAAAAAATAGAAGGCCCCTATGACTCAGCAATCCCACAGCAGTGTATATATCAAAAGTATGAGAATTTAGTATATTGAAAAGATATCTGCACTCCCATGTTTATTGTGACACTATTCACAAGAACCGAGCTATGAAATCAACCTAATTGTCTATCAGTGGATGAAAGGATAAAAAATTGTGGTACATATACACAATGTAATATTATGTACCACAGAAAAGAATGAAATCCTGTCATTTCCAACAACAGGGATTGAACTGGAGAACATCATGTTAAGTGAAATAAACTAAGCACAGATAGACAAATCTCACATGTTGTCACTCACTTGTGGAAGCGGAATATTAAAAACCATTGATCTCTTGTAGACAGAGAGTAGAATGATGGTTACCAGAGGGTGGGAAAGGAAGTGGGAAGTGAGGAGGAATAAAAAAGAAGCTTCAGACGTGAATGCAGAGATGGGAGAAGTGAAAATGGCTCCCCTGACCATATAAATCCCAAAAGGATTTTATAGGAGCTATCTTTGATCTCTTATGTGATTATTTAGAGCCTTCTTTTTTCCATCAACCCATAAAATAGTGATTTTCAGATCTCCTTTCTTTGTCGTGCTTCTATACTTGGAGTGATGCTCCTTCCCCCTTTTGCTCAGTACATCTATCCATAGTGAGTGTCTGCCTAGTTCACTCACTTGGTAGAGTCAATTGAAATTCCAGTTCACTTTTGAAGTTTTGCCTGTTTACAGATAAGAGTTTTTAAATTTCAAAATGCTAAGGCAAGGGAGGAAGTGGGGAGGGGTATATACAACCACAACGAGTAAGATGTGCAACGTTTGGGGATTGGAAATGCTTGAAGCTCTTACTCGAGGAGGGAGGGGGGCATGGGCAACATAAGTAACCTTAACACCTGTATTCCCATAATGTGCTAAAATAAAAAAATTAAAAAAAATCAAAAAATACTAAGGCAGTAGAAATGTTTTTGTAAAATAGATACCATGTATAATGCTTAAGTCAGGGCTTTTGGTGTGCCTATCACCAGGGCAGTGTTTATTGTACCCAACAGGTGATTTCATTATTTTATTTTATTTTATTTTATTTTATTTTATTTTATTTATTTATTTATTTATGTTTTTCCATGGCAAAGATAAGCTAAGAGATTTGTTTTATTTCATGAATAATTAAGGGTATACTAATATGTATATCTCAAAGTAACACTGAATTATTTAAGACATACTGTTACAATAGTTATACAGTTAATAGAAGACAGGAACCAACACACTGAACAAACACACCTGTATTATACATCAAAATCAATGGCAAATATTTCTCCAATTATTCTTAAAAGAAAAATACCTGACCAGTTAAAAGCTGAAAAGCTTTGCTCAAAAAACCCAGCATATACAGAATAAGCTTAGACCCTCAAAAACCAGATAAAAATTGGCAAAGCAAAACAAATGAGAAAAACTGGTTAAACTTCTCAAACATACTAAATTATATCAAATATACAGGCATTTTAGCAAAATAAAGCATTAAATTGTACTTCGTAGATATGGTCATTACATTTATTTTAATAACCACTTCATCATAGGCTGATTGGCGCTAATCTGGTTGGATAAGGATGATCTGAAAGCGATACTGACTGAATGTCAGGCAAAAAGCAAACATTCCCAGCCATTTTTTGCATGAACATGGATTGTACCATTTAATGCAGACCCAAGGCCACACATTTTTGGGGAGTAGGTTTTACTTGCAGTACAGATTCTCACAAAAATACAATACAATGTGATAAGCCCAGTTTAAAATGTACATGCAGCAGCCCATACTAACACAAACAGCTCCCAACGGGGGATGAGAAAAGCTAGATCCGGTGTCACCAGGGTTCATTAGGGGAACAGAATAATCTAGCACAAGGAACTAGGAAAAAAGCTATGAAACTAGGAAAAAAAGCCATGCCTAACAGTCACTCAAGGTCAATTTGATCATTTCAACGACCAAAATAACCCCTGTGAAAAATCTCCAACGACTGTGGAAGAGTTCAGTATTCTGCACTCACATGAGATGCTCAAAGTTTAGCAGTACGAGATGTCTCTACAAAAGTCACACAAAATACTTTTCTGTTTGAAAAGAATGACAGGGGAAATCTACTTTCAAGGAAGAATGGACACTTTTAAAGGGAATGCTGACATTAGCTTTCAAAAATGAAATTAAAAATTTAGTAGAACCTGGTGAAGGATATGTCTGAAGTGATTATAGTGTAACCTTGATTTCCCAGTGGTATGATTATGCAGGACTCTAATTTAAAAACTCTTCAGGATTTTAAGAGCACTCTAAAATTGTGATACAGAAGAGCAATCCTAAAACTACTTTGGCCAAATGAGAATTCCAATGACCTGCACTGACAGCTTGCGGCGGTCCTTTGACCCCACCTGCCCTTTGACCCCACTATCCAATGTTTCTAGAACATTTCTAAGCAGGAAAGACATATCAAGGGCTTTTAATGATCGGGCAACGCCCAGAGACAAAGTAGAGATTTGTTTAGGGCTATGCTTTTATCATCTATTCCTTTATCTACCATACTTTTAGCTGTTTAAAGTGACAATTTCCCTACAGAAAGTTACAAAATATCTCTGAAAGAGAATAACATTAGTTCAAAAGATGTGCTCCAACAGGATTATTTTGTAAAAGGTGACTAGAGGTAAATAGTCTGTTAGTTATAATACTGGGACTGACATGTTACTAAGGCACTTCAGAACTTTGGGAAATTCTTTTGCTCACATTAGCAGGCAGCTGTAAAATTGGATCCTCAAAGTATTTACAGAAATACATATACCCTTTACCAGAATAACAAAAACTTCATGCACAATAGACTTTAATGGCTCTTTCAGGCAATAGAGAAGCATCTACGTGCCAGTAACTCGAGCTAAGGACTTCAGCAAGTACCCAGAGCAAGCATTTAATTTCCAGCAGGTGATATTTAAGATGTGAGTATTTAACAGCTAACTTCCTCTGAAAAGCTATAAAGACCTGGTCCTTCAGAGTTACTGACGGTTTCTGCTCTCACACATTGTAAAATAGCCATTGGGTATGTTTAACAAGTATGTCCAATATCCAGCTTTGAATGACAGACGAAAAACCCCTACATACTACATTCAGATGTTTTTGCTTGGCTTTAGTGTAACCTGACGTTGGTAACTCATCTCCAGTTTTCATTCTCCAACTACAGGTATGGGTGTTTCCTTTGTTTTCCTTTTAAATGGTCTATTAGCTTCATTTAAATGTTCCCATCCTTACTATTTACTCACTTAGGAAAATCATTAAATTCAGATTTTATGAACAAAAACAACAATTCGAAGGTATTTAATAGCTGGTACCTTATCCCTTCTCTTCAATGTAGTCTCAAGGGATTTTTGGCTATTTGTTTTCATAATTTTCTTATGTTGCACACAAAAACAAGATTCCCCCCTTTAAAATGCAGAGTATGGGAGAAATACACTGTTTTTCAAACAAAAATGTTTATAAAAGAACATATGGTCCAAATAAACAAAAAAAAACCCCTACCCCATTAAATTGGGTGGGACCAATAAGGCTTATAAGCAAAAAAAAAAACAACCTCTTCTGCTTTATTTAGTACAATAAAACATATCATTTTACTACTTCTGTGTTTGGACCTTACTCCTATTTCACCAAAATTTTCCCCTTTCTCATAATTTTTCTAGTATTATGTAAGGTTATGTCTATTTCTAGATTCTGAAATATCTGCATTTTAATGCTTGCACAACCCATTTAATTACAAAAGCTGCCTCTATTTCATTTTCTGACTAAAAACGCAAAAAAATAAAATAAAATAAAATAAAAAGGACAAACCACACCACATCATACAGATAATGATCCAAATGGAAAAGTTAATGTGCTGTAATGATATTTGTTTTGAAACGTCAAAAGCAGCAGAGATACTGAATATAATTTTGCTTAAATCATAAATACTGAGATTGAAATATGCACGTATAAATCACATTTAGGCTCAATGAACTGAAAGGTCTCTATAAATACATAGAAGTGTATATAAAGTGCAAAACAAGCAATATCAAACGCGAGATCTCTGGTATTTTAGTACTCCCATTCATCGGATTTCAAGTCGAGATAGCTGAGAATATTCTGGGCAAGCTTCACCGCCTGTTTCCTGGCAGCCTTACACTTCTCTTCTCCCTGCGGATCCACAGCATCCAGCGCCAGCAGCTGCTTGGTGAGCAGCTCCTCCAGCCGGATGTAGTTCTTATCGGCTCGATTGCCATCAAATGAAAGAACTTCTTCCTGGATCTCTGACAAGTTTTCAAGGACGTTCCAGACTGCTGTATGAGATGGGTGCTCCTCACAAGCAAAAAACTTTCTTTTCTCAAGCGCCTCCTTCAGGTCAATGTAAGTGATCAGGGTTTGCACCTTGATCACGGCTCTCCTCCTGGCTTCCCGGATGCAGGGGTTTTTTTCTAGACTTACCTCGTCCAGCTGTCCAATCAAACCCTGCAATTCTGTCTTGGAGCTCAGGTACAATTCAGAAGGGTTCTGTGCTTGGAGAAGTTCATTTTTTATTTCTCTCATTCTCTTGAGGACCTTTTCTATCTTTAAAATGGAATGATTCTGTCCCAGGTCAAATGCTTTGGTAGTATCTGCTTCCTCTTCCAAATCCAAATATTTCAATAATTTGTTGATATCTTCTACTACCTCCCTTCGATAATTTCTGATTTCCGTACGCCCGCACACATCTAAAGCATCCAGATCTGCAATCAACCCTGACAGCACACAGGATAAGTGCCTGCAAGTCTCATTATTGTTCACTCCCATCAGAAGTGCAATCAGAGTGCCTCTGGCCTTGTTCACTTCACACATCACAGAGTTAATTTTGGCCACAGAAGGATGCACATCCTCAGAGAGTGGCAGGGAAGGCTGCTTTTTCATGCAGTCTTCAATAATCTCTTGCACTGCACAGATTTTGGTTAAAGTGTGATACCTTGCTTTCCGCAAGGAGATCTTCCCTCCAGTTTTAACATGTGTCAGCCTCAGAATGATATCCTGGATGCCTTCTTCAAATTCATCAGTTACGCAGTTGCCTCCAGTATGAAATGGCACGATTTTCTCTCTCACAAGGGACTGGGCTTCCTTAAAAATGTTCTGTATTTCAATCCGGTGTGGGTGGTTTGCATTCTGCTCCAACTCTTTGAGAAGACGCTCTGTCTCCTGTGCTGCCCTCTTCCTAGCTTGCTGAATGTCTCCTTTCCCTTCAGTATCTACAGAGTCTATTTCAAACAGTTGTTTTGTTAGAAACCTCTCCAGTTTCTTGTAATTCTTGTCATCTGGCAGACCACTGAAGCCAACTACTTGCTGTTCTATGCTTTTTACTTCCTTTTGGATTTCCTGAAGCCTACTAATAGAAGGATGTTGGTTTCCCATATCCATACTTTTGTCGTGTTCAGTTTCACAAGCACATTGGTTCCCAGCTTCTGAGCCCTCTCCATCTGTGTGGTCTTTACTCCCAGCAGCCTGCGTCTCTACGTTCCTCTCCACCTTTGTGCACTTCTCCACCCGACCCTGCAGCTTCTCACGCGTGCTCCCCGCAGCGGCCTCCCGCGCCGCGCCGCGCCGCGTCGGCCGCTAGCCTCGCGGTAAGGCGGCCGGGAATGGCGCGACCGGAGAGTGGCCGCCGGGGTCCGCCGCCTCGGCCCGCCGCCCCCGCAGCCCGTCACACCGCGGGGGGTATTTTATTTTATTTTATGTGCTTTTGAAAGAATGAGGCTGCACCATTACAATAAAGATAAAACAAGAAGTGTCAAAATGAAATGTCAGAAATATCAACTATCAAGTTTAGTACTTAAAGAAATTAGACATTCCACTTCCATGGAATTTTTTTCACGGAAGAAGCTTATAAAATTTGCTGGTATAGTTTATCTTTTTTTTTTAATTATAGCATATTATGGAGGTACAAGTGTTAAGGTTACATATATTGCCCATGCCCCTCTCCCTCCTTGAGTAAGAGCTTAACGCATGACCATCCTCCAAATGTTGCACATCTTACTCGTTGTGGTTGTATATACCCATCCCTTCCTCCCTCCACCCACCCTCCCAACGCCGATAAATGTTACTCCTGTATGTCCATTTAGGTGTTGATCTGTTAATACCGATTTGCTGATGAGTACATGTGGTGCTTGTTTTTCCATTCTTGAGACGCTTCACTTAGTTCAATGGGTTCCAACTCTATCTAGGAATATACAAGAGGTGCCATATCACCATTGTTTATTAAAGCTGAGTAGTACTCCATGGTATACATATGCCACATTTTATTAATCCACTCATGAATTGATGGGCATTTGGGTTGTTTCCACAGCTTTGCAATTGTGAATTGTGTTGCTATAAATATTCTAGTGCAGGTGTCTTTTTCATAAAGTGAATTTTGATCTTTTGGGTAGATGCCCGGTAGTGGAATTGCTGGATCAAATGCTAGATCTACTTGTATCACTTTGAAGTATCTCCATATTGCTTTCCACGGAGGTTGAATTTGTTTGCAGTTCCACTAGCAGTGTAGGAGTGTTACTCTCTCTCAGCATCCACGTCACCATTTATTGTTTGGGGACTTTTTGATAGAGGCCATTCTCACTGGAGTTAAGTGATATCTTATTGTGGTTTTGATTTGCATTTCCATGATGGTTAGAGATATTGAACATTTTTTCATATGTTTGTTGGCCATTATTCTGTCTTCTTTTGAGAAATTTCTGTTCATGTCCTTTGCCCATTTTTTGATAGGGTTGTTTGATTTTTTCCTGGTGATTTTTTGGAGTTCTAAATAGAATCCAGTTATCAGCCCTTCATCAGATGTGTAGCTTGAGAAAATTTTCTCCCATTCTGTGGGTTGTCTGTTTGCTCCCTTGACAGTTTCTTTGGCTGTGTAGAAGCTTTTTAATTTGATCAGGTCCCATTTGTTTATTTTTGTTGCTGTTGTGATTGCCTTTGGGGTCTTCCTCATAATTTCTTTGCCTAGGCCAATGTCTAGAAGAGTATTTCCAACATTTTCATCTAGCATTCTAATAGTTTCACACCTAAGGTTCAAGTCTGTTACCCAGAGTGAGTTGATTTTTGTGAGAGGTGAAAGGTGTGAGTCTTGTTTCAGTCTTGTATCAGTTTTCTACATGTGACTATCCAGTTTTCTCAGCATCATTTATTGAATAAGGATTCTTTCCCCCAGAGTATCTTTTTGTCTGCTTTGCTGAAGATTAGTTGGCTATATGAAGATGGTTTTATATCTGGGTTCTCTGTTCTGTTCCAGTGGTCAATTTCCCTGTTCTTGTGACAGTACCATTCTAATTTAATTACTATAGCCTTATAGTAGAGTTTGAAGTCTGGTAAATTGATACCTCCTATTTTGTTTTTATTGCCTAGGATTGATTTTGCTACACGGGGTCTTCTCTGGTTCCATACGAAGCGTAAAATTATTTTTTCTATATCTGTGAAAAATGATGATGGTATTTTGATAGGGATTGCATTGACTCTGTAGGTCACTTTGGGTAGTATAGACATTTTAACAATGTTGATTCTGCCAACCTACGAGCATGGTATATTCTTCCATCTGTTTATGTCCTCTGCTATTTCCTTCTTCAGTGTTTCATAGTTCTCCCTGTAAAGGTCTTTTACCTCCTGAGTTAAATATATTCCAAGGTACTTTATTTTCTTTGTTGCTATTTTGAAGGGAATTGAGTCTTTGACTTGGTTCTCACTTTTACTGTTCTTGGCATATATGAATGCCTCTGATTTCTATGTATTGATTTTGTATCCTGATACTTTACCAAATTCATTTATCAATTCAAGGAGTCTGTTGGTTGAATCCGTGGGGTTTTCTAGGTATAATATCATGTCATCAGCAAAGAGTGAGAGTTTGATCTCTTCTGCTCCCATTTGGATGCCCTGAATTCCCCTTCTTGTCTGATTGCTGTAGCGAGGACTTCCAGCATTATGTTGAACAGAAGTGGAGATAGTGGGCAACCTTGTCTCGTTCCAGTTCTAGGTGGGAATTCTTTCAATTTTTCCCCATTCAGTATGATATTGGCTGTGGGTTTGTCATATATGGCTTGTATCATTTTTAGGTAAGTCCCGTCTATGCCTATTTTGTTGAACATTCTTATCCTAAATGGGTGTTGAATTTTGTCAAATGCTTTTTCTGCATCAATTGAGAGGATCATATGGTCTTTGTTTTTGCTTCTGTTATATGGTGAATTACATTTACAGATTTGCATATGTTGAACCATCCCTGCATCCCTGGGATGAAGCCCACTTGGTTGTGATGAGTTGTTTTCTTGACAAGCACCTGGATTCGTTTGGCTTGGATTTTGTTGAGAATTTTTGCATCTATATTCATATGGGATATTGGTCTGTACTTTTCTTTATTTGTTGCATCCTTTCCTGGTATTGGTATCAGGGTTATGTTTGCTTCATAAAATATGTTGGGGAGGATTCCATCCTTCTCGATGTTGTGGAATAATTTCTGCAGGATAGGCACCAGTTCTTCTTTGTAGGTGTGGTAATATTCGGGTGTGAAACTATCTGGTCCGGGATTTTTCTTTTTAGGAAGTATTTTTATTGCTGTTTCAATTTCAGTACTTGATATTGGTTTATTCAGGAATTCTATTTCTTCCTGGTTGAGACAATTTTTAAGAAATTGTCCATTTTCTCAACATTTCCCAGTTTGTGTGCATAGAGGCTTTTGTAGTATTCATAAATTATATCTCGTATCTCCGTGGCATCAGTTGTAATTTCTCCTTTATTGTTCCTGATGGAGCTTATTAGAGATTTTCCTTTTCTGCTTTTCATTACTCTAGCCAATGGTGTGTCAATTATGTTTATTTTTTCAAAGAACCAACTTTTTGTTGTATTAATCTTCCCTATAGTTTCCCTGTTGTCAATTTCGTTTAGGTCTGATTTGATCTTAATGATTTCACTTCTTCTTCTCGGTTTGGGGTTGGTCTGTTCTTTTTCCAGCTCTTTGAGACAATTCATTTAGATTGTCTATTTGTGATCTTTTTGACTTTTGGATATAGGCATTTATGGAAATAAACTTTCCTCTCAGGATTGCTTTAGCTGTGTCCCACAGGTTTTGGTAACCTGTGTCACCTTTGTTGTTTAGTTCAAATAATCTTTCGATTTCCATCTTGATTTCCTCATTTATGAAGTGATCATTCAGCAGAAGGCTGTTTAGTTTCCATGACTTTGTGTAGAAATGAGAACTCCTGTTAGGATTTATTTCTACATTTATTCCATTGTGGTCCCAAAAAACACATGGTATAATTTCTATTTTTTTAAATTGTTTGAGACATGCTTTGTGTCCTAGGATATGGTCAATCTTAGAGAATGACCCATGAGCTGATGAGAAGAACGTATATTCAGTGTTTTGGGGGTAGAATGTCCTGTAAATGTTAGGGCCATTTGTTCTAGAGTTTTGTTTAAGTCCATTATTTCTTTGTTCATTTTCTGTTTGGAAGACCTGTCCTGTGCTCTCAGTGGGGTGTTAAAGGCTCCAACTATTATGGTATTGTTGTTTATCCATTTCTTTAGATCCAGTAGAGTTTGATTTATGAATCTGGGTGCACTAGGGTTGGGTTCATATATATTTAGACTTGTTATGTCTTCTTGTTGAACTGTACCTTTCACCATTATATAGTGACCTTCTTTGTCTTCTATTACTTTTGTTGATTTAAAAACTAAGTTATCTGTAATCAGCACCACCACACCAGCTTTCTTTTTGCTTCCATTTGCTTGAAATATCGTTCTCCACCCCTTTACCTTTAGTCTATATGCATCCTTGCAGGTTAGATGTGTTTCCTGAAGGCAGCAGATACTTGGCTTGTGTTTTTTTTTTATCCATTCGGCCAGCCTATGTCTCTTGAGTGGTGAGTTCAAGCCATTCACATTTAACTGAGATAACTGATAGGTGGGGCTGATTTATGTTCATTATGTTGGCTTGAACTTTGTTGCTTTGTTTTCCTCTTGAGCCATTGTGGTATCTGGGTTTTGATCTTTAGATTTGAGTGGATTTACATTCGTGAGTCTTTGTTGTGCTGATCTGTGGGTAACACTATTTTGAGTACTTTTTGAAGGGCTGGTCTTGTCTTGGTGAATTCCCTCAGTCTTTGCTTATCTGAGAATGTCTTGATTTCTCCTTCATATACAAAGCTTAGTTTTGCAGCTTATAAGATTCTAGGCTGGGCATTGCTCTGGTTCAGAAGAGTGAGAATGAGGCCCCATTCTCTCCTTGCTTATAAAGTCTAAGTAGAAAAGTCTGGTGTTATTCAGATTGGTTTTCCTTTGTATGTTACTTGCTTCTTTCCTCTTACAGCTCTTAGAAGGGCCTCTTTAGTTGATATTTTGGTCAGTCTGATGACTGCATGTTGTGATGTCTTCCTGTTTACGTTGAATCTCCCAAGGGTCCTCTGAGCCACTTGAACTTGTATATTGCGATTTTTACCAAGGACTGGGAAATTTTCGTCTATTATATTTTCAAATAGCTTGTCCAACCCTTGAGTGTTTTCTTCTTCCCCTTCTGGTAACCCTATGACCCTCACATTAGGTTTCTTCACATGATCCCACATCTCTTGTAGGCTTTGCTCTTTTCTCTTGTTTCTCTGCACTATCTCTGTGACTGATTTATTTAATTGGAAGGTGTTATCTTCAATCTCTGAGATTCTTTCTTCTGTTTGATCTACCCTGTTCTTGAGGCTTTCCACTGTGTTTTGTAGTTCCCAGAATTGATTCTTCATTTTCAGGAGTTCAGTTAAACTTTTATTCGTTGTATTGATTTCTTTAGTGAATTTTTTCCAGGTCCTGGAGTCTTTTTGTGTTTTCTTTGTGTTGGTTATTGAGTTGTTCTTGCAGGTCGTTGAATTTTCTTATGATCCACATTCAAAATTCCTCTTCTGTCATTTTGTTTGCCTGATTTTGGTTGGTGTCTGCTTCTAAGGGGCTGGTGCTCCTCTTTGGGGGTGTGGTTTCCATTCGGTTCTTCATATTTCTGGAGTTCCTTTGCTGATTTCTTCCCATCTCAATCAGTCATTGTTTCTTTCCTTTAGGTTTCTGTTTGGGTATTCACACACCTTGTTTAGTCTCTGAGCCAGTAGGTGGTGTGTGTGGGTGAGATTCGACCACACGCTGCCTGATGTGTCAGTAGGTGCCGTGAAAAGGTTGTCCAGAATGTCTTCCCTGTCTGTAGGTAGCGTGTGCTTGGAGGAACAGCTATACTATTGTTTTTGTGTCCTGTAACCAGGTCTTGTTCCTCTAGAGAGATACTCTAGTGCTTCAGGTGGTGGGTGGGGCCCTAGGACTTCCAGGTGTGTCCTTTTCTCCCCCTCAGTGAGCACTGCTCTGGGAGTGAGTTTGGGCAGAGCTGGGTTGGGTAAGCCTGCCCTCAGGCACCACCAATGCTGTTAGCATGGGTCAAAGTTCTGTTCTCTGCTTCTGGTTAAAGCTGCCAGGGAGGGGCTGGAATGTCCCTGCTCAGTCAGAAAGTCTAGGTGTGGAGGTGGGGCTAAGACCCACAGTCTGGAGCAGGCCTCGGTGCTTTCCATCCTCCTCAACTCCGGAGCTTCTCCTGGGCCTCTTCCAGCAGGCCAGACCACATGCCACTGGGCCTCCCCTGTTGGTGATGCCAGCCGGGAGATTCCCTGCTCAGGAATGTTGCCTTGGCTGGGTGCAGGGCCTCCCTTTGGGAGGAGGGTTGCCCTCTGGGATGCTGATCTGCCCCTGAAGGCACACTCACCTCAGTAGGCTGTTCATGTATATCCCTTATGTGCCCTGGGCAATGCGAGACCTGGGTGCATGGGATCTGGTCTGCAGGTCTGACCTCTGGGCCCCAGATTTCTATCCCTATCCCCACCATGGAAAGGAGTGCCAGTCCCAGTTCACTCATGGGGAGCCCAAGCTATGTCTATGTCTCTCAGCCTCAGAGTCTGCCTTGTTCTCTTGGGATCACTGGGCCAGCAGCACCTGGGAAGGCTGGTGTGTAGGGAGTTCACCATCTGAGTTACCCTCAGTCAGCTGTTGGGCCCCAAAAGGGAAGATCCTGTTCCTGGAGGTGCCTCGAGCTGGTGGCTATATTGTCTCTCTGGGCAGCCGTGGATAGGGATGGGGAGGGGAGAATGAAGCAATATGATGCTTGCCTGTAGAGTGTTGACTAGACACAATGGATGTTGAGATATAAAGTGTGTTGAAATTACTCTATGCCTGTTGTATTCTAAATGTTTCTTCTCCCCACAAATTCATAAGTTGAAATTCTTACCCATGTGGTAATTGTATCAGGAGATATGGATGTAATAAAAGCCCTCATAAAGTAGGCCTTGGAGAATCCTTTCCCTTTATTCAGGCAAGATTGTAGCAAGAAGACTGCAGTCTGTGAACTGGGAAGGGTCCCTTGCTAGACACAGGGTCCACTGTCACATTGACTTTGGACTTCTCAGTCTCCAGAACTTTAAGAAATAAACATCTGTTGTTTATAAGATACCCACTTTCTGGTATTTTGTTATAATATCCCCAAATGCCTAAAAAAAATCTATGTCTTAAAAATGTCTGTGTCTTACAAAGGATTTTGAGAGGTTTTCCAGTGGATTTTCTCTGAATACTTCAGCTTTTATTGGAGTTTGAGAGTCTATTAATGTAGATAGATATCTCCAGTGAGGCAGGATTAAGCACATATTTCCAGAATAGAATTTTGTTTGAATATCCTAATTCTCCAATTCTGTGAGTGTCCAGAGTCCTGTGGATTACCTCCTATGATCACATTCATAAGGGACTGGAATAAATTCTAGAGAAGAATTGGCATACACAGATTTGGCGATACAATAAAATAATGATCTTATGAGCCACATCTCATTAATTCTTCAATCATCTTCCCTCAGCATTTGCCTTCCTCAGTGTATAGAACAGAGGGTTCAGTAAGGGTGTGCCAATTGTATAAAACACACCCACTATCTTGTCTATTGGAAAAGTGGTTGGTGGGCATGTGTATATAAATATATATGGACAAAAAAATAGGACAACCACAATAAAGTGGGAAGGGCATGTGGAAAGTGCTTTTCGCCTTCCTTCTGCACTGTGGTTTTTCAGAGAGTGTAAGATTACAATATAGGAGATTAGCAGTATTACGAAATTCACTATACATATGGCCCCACTATTAGACACAATGAGCAAATTTATCACATAAGTGTCCATGCAGGCAAGTTTCAACAGGGCTGCAAATCACAGAAATAGTGATCAAGCACATTTGGGCCACAGAAGGGCAATCTCAAAACCAGGAAAATCTGTGCTGAAGAATGAATATAAGACCCTCTCAAGGCCATAATCACCAATATACCACAGACATGCTGGTTTATAATGGTTGTGTATCTCAGGGTCTTACAAATAGCTACATCGTGGTCAAAGGCCATGAGGATGAGCACAAAGATCTCCATGCATCCAGAGAATTGGGCTGGAAAGACCTGAGTCATGCATTCATTGTAGGAAGTGGTCTTCTTCTGAGAAAGGCCATCCACAATCAACCTGGGGACTGTCATTGTAGAGAAGCAAACATTAGCTTGTATTAGGTGGAATAGGAAAAAGAACCTCATAGAGCTTGAGCCCATTCTCCAAAGTGAGGTATCAAAAAAATGGAAGAATAAGCACCACATGTACTAGCCATCAAATTGGCAGAAGCTGATCAACACTGAGGTGTTCATATGTTAGTAATATTCACTGGGGCATGGGAGTTGGTGGTTGGTAAACTCACAAGAAATGGATGCTGTGAGCATTGTATGGGGGAAAGGTCCTCCTTTAATTGTGGCTTGGGTGAGGCAAAGTCATAACATTTAACCAAATTTTTCTACTCCCCTAATATTCTGAAATAAAAAATAAAAAATAAAATAAAAAAAAAAAAGAAAAATTACTTGGGACTCCCAAGAGTCCGGCTTGCTTTAATAGTCACAGCAGTCAGAAAGTTCCTCAACAGAGTTGAAAAGTATCACCAATGTGGATAATACAAGTTTTTTTGTAGTGATTAGAAGGGTAGGAATGAAAGTGGCATATATCTTTAGTAAATATAGAAAAATGCATAAAAGTGGATATTATTTTGAACATATGGGAACCACAATGAGTGGAAGAGTAATAAAATAAGTCTTATTTGTGAAAAGGGTTGGGATCCAAAGACATGAAAATCAGACCTGCAAGGACACTTAGAATGAGAGAATGGAAACCAAGTTTCAATGGAAATCAGAGGGAAAGGGCATTATCTGGCAAATAGACGATCCATATGAAACCTCTGTCTTGTCAGACTCCACAGTCATCTTAGAAACAGTTGAAAATAATAGGTTGTTCTCCCTTCCAAAGGCCATGAAAACCAAGTTGTAAAGTTTTAGTAACTTTTCATGGGCAAAGTAAAAAATCTGAAGCCATAAAAATATGAGAGCAGCTTTAATTAAGATTTATTCATCATCTAAGAACAAAACATGCTCAAAGTTTTTTAACGGTATGTGGTCTTTTTAAAACTAAATTGAGTACAACTGGATTAGAGTTTACCTGTAGTGAAGAGCCTACCTCCTGTGAGATGTCAGAGCCCCACTGAAGACAGCAGTGTTTCTGTTCCCTGCACCTAGACATCAGGGGGAAGCAACAACCCTGTGGTGCCTGCAGGCTTCCCAAACAGGATCCTCAGAGGGTTCAGACTGGCCCCTTTCTTTCTCAGGCAGGATCAGAAGCCATCACGCTCAACTATTCCCTGTTAAAGATGGGAAAATGTGGGGAAGAGCAAAGCATTTTCCCTCAGGTGTAATGGGATCATTTTTATATTCCCATGGCATACAACATAATTCATCTTGCACAATATTTAGTACTCATCAAATTATAGACAAAATATGTCCCACAATTCAGTGGAAGAAAATTAATATTCTTGGTGAGATATCTAAATGACTTTTCATAATGAGAATTACTAGCTCACATATACCAAGATCCAGACTGAGAGTTCATGAATGCCAAGGTTACAAATGGCCAATCCTAGATTCCTGGAAGTGGATTCTCACAGACCTTTATTCAGATGGCTATTCTGTGTCTTTAAACAAAAAAAGAACCCAAATTCAGGTGTTTCTTCTCACGCTATAGCCTTCTCCCCCTTTTTGCCTCCTTTGTAGCACTTGGAAAGGAATAGAGGGCATTTTGAAAACATGATGATTCATAAATATATAAAAAGATTACTCCAGTTTGCAAATGCAATGGCTGAGATGCTCATGGCAGCTTTCAAAGCCCCCGACTTGGTGCCCTCACTTCCCTTCCACTTGTCCTCCCAGTGCTCCTGCTTTTCTGTGCTCCAGCCATGCCTGACATTTTCTGTGCCTCATAAATACACTTAGACATCTCACTCCCTGAATATTCCATATCTCACAGAGGCTGAATGACCTGTCCTGTGCTATGACCTCAACCCTCCATTTCTACCTTTGCACAGAGTACCCAGTTCAAGTACCAACTGCTCAGCAAAGCCTTCTCAGATTTCCTCAAAGAGCTCTCTCACTGTTAATGGCCTCGCACTCTTAAAATGTATGTGTGTGTGTTATTCAATCATGTATTTTATATGTGTATCCTTCTCTCACTTTTCCTTCTACATCTTTTGCCCATTTGATTGTACAATATCTCACAAGTCACACTGGCTTGGCTCTGCTTTGTACACTTTGGGCTAAGCTGAGATGCCGAGTTTACCAGTGAGCAGTTAGCGAGGATCTAGGACCAGAACCCAAGCCTGGTGATCCACAGCAATCTCTCTCACACCCCACCCACACTGCCATGCAAGGCATCAGAATCGACCATTCATGTACAGCCAGCAGAAAGCCAAGAAATCATAAAAAGGTGAAGAAGGAAACCACTGGCATGTTCAGTTCATGTCGATTACCAAATGGATGCTGTCTTCAGGATATAAAACACATAAGTGTTTTATATGCATGTTTGATAATTAAGATTGAGGAGGAGATAGAAAGGTTAAAATAATAGGAGGATTCAGAGCTGAAAGGAAACAGGAAATGGTACTGTGAGCAAGAGTCAGAGAGAGAAAAGGAATCAGGAGATGAGACAGAGAAAAGCATATATGTTAGCACAAAGATGAGCTAAAAAACCATGGTGGGGATAAAGAATAGTTTCTCCTAGGATTTCACTAAAAATTTTTGTTTCTTTCTCCTCCACTCATCTATTATTTCTTCTCCCAAGCCCACATTGATGACGTAGTAAGCAGATGACATTGAAGGTCGTGGACAGCCAACATGGCCATCATAAGTATCAACACATCCTGACTGTGTATAGTCAGCATGCATCCCTGCCCTAGTCCTGACCTTCAACTTGGCAAGTCAGGAGTCTGCAGGTATTGGAAACTTTATCTCTGTGCCCCTCACTCAGTCTTCTTCTTCTATCAGAATAGCCCTGAAACACTTCTGCATCAAGTAGACACCAGTGTAAGCTGGGGAATGTGAAACATTAAAATATTTTCATCACTCGGGGAATATGTCCCTGGCACTTCAGGTTCTCAGGAGACAGAACTAGATGGCAACTGCTCTAATTTGTCCTGAGTGGGAGTCAAGAGAGATGAATAGTTCAGTTGGGCTTGAAAACTTATCTTTTTTTCTTGTTAAACAAAATAGATAACATCAGATAGAAAGTTCACAGTTTTCTCTTTTTCAGTTCTGGTTAACTTTGAAGAAAATCATGTGCATTGTGTCTACAAGGTGTGAATTTCACTTTAGACTTGTACACTCTACTGCTGAAGCCATGGGGAGAGGAGATACTCCACAGACAGCCAACCTTTCCTTAACAGGCTCTAATTAGACTCTAAAAATGAGCATAAAATACCAACAGAAAGTTTCTTACTTCTGTTTCTAGAACTTTCTAAAAAAAACTCCACTATTCTGTATGGAAACACCTCTATAAAACCAAACATCTCTATTAATTCAAAATATTCTCTGGTAGAACATGTGAATTAGACATGTATGCTTTCTCCATCAAATATTTATAAAGATTTCATAAAAGTTCCCAAAGGTCCAGCCTCCAGAGGGAGAAAGACCACAGCCCCTCCCACCTAACATTGAAGGATTTTCTCAGTGAGTTATTTAGCACAGTGAATCTAAGACCACAGCAAGCCAGGGGCCAATTAATCCCAAGCAAGGCTGTCAACGGGCAGATTCTGTCCTCAGAGCCTCTCCTCCTCCCTGTGCGAAGGGACACCTCCCACGACAGTGACCACCTGCTCCCTCAGGCATGGCTTCAGAGTCACATTCAGGTGTAGACTACTGAAAGTTACCAAAAGCTTTCTTCTTTGGCCAAATCTTTATAATGGTCCAGATATAAATTCAAATAGATATTAATACCAATACAATTCAATTGTATCCATGATTTGTATTTCTATGATTTTAGGCAAGCTTCTTAACTTCTCTTAATATCCCATTCTGGAAAATATTACCATTAAATATAATATTTAACAATAACATATAAATTATTAATAATAATATTAACAGTACTAATGATATTGTTTAAATACACCATAAGTAATTACAATGAAAGCACATAATAAAAATTTCTGTGGTTTCTATAATATTTTAAAATCAATAAGTCAATAAAGGAAGGAAGGAAAAAGAGAGAAAGGTAATGGAAATAAATTAATGTTTCTTTTAACGTCTTTTTATTTTAAATTTCCCTCTTAAGGTATAATTTATACAACAAACAATGCAGCATTTTAAAAGGTATGGTAGGTGAGTTTTGACAAATGTATACATTCATCTAAGTACTGGCACAATGGTGGGTATTTATCAATTTTGTTTGTCTGTTCAAACATCCACATTTTGGCTTTATGTTCTCTTTGTATTTATATTTTGATTTTGCTTCTCTGCCTTCTGCCTTTTTATGAGTTGATTTCATTACATGGTTCCTTCTGAGGACTAAGAGGGAGAATCTGTTCCATTCCTCTCTCCTGCTTCTGATGATTTGCTGGGAATCTTTGAAATTCTTTAGGTTGTAGATGAAGTGCCCAATCTCTCTGCCTCCTTCTTCATATGACATTCTCCGTTTGCGTGTTTTTCTCTTTTCCATTTTTATAAGGGCACAGATATGTTGGATTAGCATTCACCCGAACAATCTTATCTTAACTTGATCATCTGAAAATTTTCTTTTATTTTAAAATAAGGCCACATTCACAGGTACTGGAGGTTAGGATTTCAGCATTTTGGGGGGAGATGCAATTCAATCCCTAACAATCCTATACAGCCCCTAAAACTGGGGGAAAAGTACTGCCTGATTCAGGCTCTCCAAATTTCCTCCAAAAGCTCTGTTGGTGTCTCTTCCCCAACCCCACCTCCAGCAGAGATCCTCCACTTATGCAAAGCCCTGACTCTCCAGCTCACTCCCATGCCAAGAATCAAGACATGCTCCCAGGGTAAAAGTGGGTAAAAATTCAACTCACTTCATTAACCACTTCGGTACCAGCGTCGATTGTAGTCCATAGCCACAGATGAACACGCACAGTGACTTTAGCCAACAGACCTGATATGAAGGCGCACAGCTGAGTGTCAACTTTAGCCGACAACTGTGATATGACCTTTCTAATTTTGATTTATCAAAATAAAATTGTGCACATTTAAAAATAACGTAATGAAAACATATATGTATATGTTACCGATTCTGATTTACATTACAGGTAACGCTACCTGTAAAGTAAAACAAGCTTTCAGTGCTTTAAAGCTTTCCTCATCACACAAGAGCAAAATGTATTCGTCATCAATGCACAGGACAAACTATCATGTGGACTATAAGTGCCGGCTGTGGGTAGGGTTTCGTGGCCTTGGGTAAGGTGAGTGCGGTATCGAAGTGGTTAAAGATCTTGTCTCTCTTGTCTTACCCCTTTCAGCATTGCTTTTCTCAATAGGTTTCCAGTACATCAGACAGGTGATTCCTATCCTGTAGCTGGCATTTCTAGTTGTTCACAGCAAGAGTATTTTTGGCCATGAGTTATCATACTGCGTTGAGGAGAAGAAGCCCATTTATATAATTTTATTATCATTCATTTATTAATTCTACACATATATATTGGCCAATTACTATATGCCAGACACTATTTTAGGCACTGGAGATTTAACAGTAAAGTTTTTTTTTTTTTTAAGTGATCTGACGTTAAGGTCACACAGTAAAGTTTTTCAGAAAGAGAAAATCGTTACCCTTATATAAATTATTTTCTGGTATATAAACAATAAATAAATAACTAAACTATTTGACATGCTAAGTAATGACAAGTATTAAGTAGAAAACTTACACAGAAATGTTGGAATAGGAGTCACAAAATATTAGTGGGTGGGATTTGCCATACTGTGAGGTAGTCAAAAAATGCTTTACTGAGAAGACACATTGGAATAATCAACCAAAGGAAGTGAGGGGGTAAGCCATGCATATGGCTGGAGGAAGAATAACTGGGACACAGAGAATTATTTTTCAGACTTTCTTAGGCAAGAGTATGTCTGGGGTTATGTAAAAAGTTGACGGGGACAATGGCTTGTATGTCACTATGGCGTTAAAGAATTGTTAGAGTTGAGTACTGTTAGAGGGAAGCTGGAAATAATATGATAATATGATATTGATTATGATATCGATATGTGATTTCAAATAACGTGATATTGTTTGGAAATTAGTGAGTATGAGATTGAGATTACACAAAGTTTTTAAAATGATGGTAATGACAAGGTCTACAGTATGACCATCGGAGTGAACAACTGAGAAAGATTTAAGGATGAGATTCCTAGAAGGAAATTGGGCAATTGGTCAATTTAGGAGCCAGTGGATAGGAACGATCATCTCTTTGGATGTTAAAGTTTCAAGAAGTATGGCAGAACCACCTTGAGTGACAGTGAGACAGGAGCTGGCACCTTTAAGGTACAAGAAGAAATGACTCTGGAAGCAGTGAATGATATTTATAAGGAAAAGTGGAATATGGAATGGTCAGATTGAGATTAGAAACTAGGAATAATCATGAACTGAAGCTGGGGAATGAGCTGGAAAAGGCAGTGAGAAGCAAGCAGAACGAGGTTTCATCTGTAGGCCCTCAGCATGAAAACTATGGGAGAAGAAAATGCCTCACTGAAGTGGAAACATGGAGAGGAGAAACAGGAAAGCAATAAAAGAAATGAAATGTTCACATAAGATACTGGACTGGTAGAGATTCTGCTTATTATTGACCTGAGATCCAAAGGATCAAATGAAAGGAGATTTGGGATTTGTGTGGAGGGGGATGAGATTTATGATGAACAAAAGGAAGTTACAGTGCTGGAAGGATTCAAAACATAAACTCAAACATTCTCTAAAAAATTCACAATCCCTAGTTGAAGAAAAATTCATGCAATATCTTCAAAATCAGGGAAGTTGCAAATCTTCTGGACTTCCTATGGAATGTTTTGGATGAGCATAATCCACTATGCTGTTATCTGCAAATATAGAATTTTTTTTACTGCTACTTAGAATAGTACTGGGCAATAATAAGTTGCAATTAATGTCAACTTGAATTTATTTTGAGTGACAAATATTTCTGTGGATACTCCTGATGTCGGATGCCTGTGACAGGGTTGATAATTGTGCACTAAAACCCACTATCCCCTCCTGTGTAGTAAGAGATGGGTACTTGTCATGGCCAACCAAGTACAGCAGACTTTACTCAGCCCCCTGTGCCTCCAGGCGTAGCTCTGTCACTAAGTTTTTGTCTATTGAAAAGAAATGGAAGGGATATGTGTAACACACAGGGGAGAATCTAAAATGTTGCCTCCGTGTTTTTGTTTTTTTTTTTTTTATAAATCTATAGTTTTATTAAGACAAAAACTGACAGTGTGGTATGAAGTTTACATTTAAACAAAGTTTTCACAGAAATCTAGCACACGCCTAAAAAGATTTTACAATGTAGCTCTAGTTGCAATTCTAGATGATGTCAAGAATTGATGGATTTTGTGATTCAAAGACAGAGCATTTGGGGTATCATTTAATTCTTAGGATTTTTTAAAAAATGTTTTTTGTTTGTTGTGTTTTACAGTGAACCATTGCCCCAGTATGAAAGTTTAATCTTCTCCTGAGACCAGGGCTTTTGAAATCATTCAACTCTTGAACTGATTCAATGAAACTTGTGCTGTCAGTGACTGAACCCTACTATCCAATGGTTTTAGGGTTCAAAGTTCAAACAACAACAAAAACCAGAGAGGCTCCAAGAGTTCTCTGCCCTAAGAGCATGGGACCTTGTCTTCCCTACTCTCCCATCTCCAAAGTTCAAAGAAAGAAAGAAAAAAAAAAAACCACAACAGAGAGGCTCCAAGAGTTCTCTGCCCTAAGAGCATGGGCCTTCATCTTCCCTGCTCACTCTTCCATCTCCTGTACCACCCTCTTCCCCAACACCTCAGCCAGTGGCTTGGATGAACAAGCTATTTATAACTTCATACCTGGAAAAGAAAGGGTCGTCTTGTTTAATTTCAGGAATTAGCACCTCTAGGACAGAATGATCTGCCGATGTATAGTCTCCAATACGAGATTTCCCCTTAATCAGTTTCCATCTCCAAAATGGCAGCTTTGGTAACTTATGAGCTGGCTTAGTACTTTGTGGGGAACAGTATTAAGCTCAGGCAGGGAACACCTTGGCTTATAGGTTTCAGGCATTCACAGCTTTTAAACAGTCTCTCATAGTCCTCATTCGTGGTGTCAATGACATTTTTTGAAAAGGTAAAATATTATGGACATAGAAGCAAATCATTAGTTGTCTGTTCTTTCCATTATTTCACCATCTCCCCAATCAGGCCCTAAATTTTAACCAAAATGATCCTACTTATCTCCCTTCTTTCCCATCCCATCCCTCCCACCCCCAAATAATACACCAGTAATAGCCAAAAACTACACACATGCTACGCTGTAAAAATGCAGAGTTAACACTATTAGGAAGAAGGCTGTGGGTTGTGGAGATGCTCTTTGAAGATCTACAGTATCTTTTTGTTCTCCCACACACCCAATTCTACAAGTTTTGTCCTTCATAGAAGGCCCTTTGCTTTTCTCAACAAAGTGCAGAATGGGCTGCCTTGAAACACTTATCCCCCTTCCTCTCCACTGGGATGGGTGTGCAAACTATACAGCTTGAACGGCGTTAAAGCACTTTGGGCTGCTGCAGGGCACAGAAACTATACTGGCTCTTCAAAGGACATCTTCTCAAGCCACCTCTATGGTGTCAAGACAAGTAAAACTCCTTCCCTCCCCACTTGAAACCCACAGTCAGATGTGACAGGGGCTGGTACTCAGGAGAGTTAATTCTTGTCATCTTTTTTGTCATCATCCTCCGAGGGGTAGGAATGCCACGTCAGCCTTTCCTCATAGAAGGATATGACAACCTGTGGGCACTTGACATTGGCTTCCTTGGCAGGGACCAGGTCAGCCTCATCAGAATTTTTCCATTTCATCAGAAACATGAGCTCTCCACTGGAATCTGTAGCTCCAATAATCCGCTCCGGCTCCAAACCCCGAGCAAAACCTCGTGGCTTTTCTGACTCTTCTTTTTTCTTCTTTGGTTTGCTCTCTTCTCCCTTATCTTCAGAATCAGAATCAGCTTTGCGCTTGCCTCCTTCTGATTTATCTGTCTCATGTGCTGTTTTCTGTGACTGCAGAAACTCAGCAATGAGGTCAGGGCAATCCAGGTTCTCTTCTGGCTCCCACGTGTTGTCCTCATCCGAGAAACCCTTCCACTTTAGGAGGTACTCCACTTTGCCCTTTACCACTCGACGGTCGAGAACTTTTTCCACCACATATTCCTCTTCCTCCTCTTCTAGCACCTCCTCCACTTTCTTCTTGTTTTGTTTTTTCCCCATAGTGCCCGCCAGCTTTCTGGTGTAAAGGGTGACGCTGCTCAGAGCAGCGCCCAAAAACCCCAGAGGAATCGATGTCGCGCTACTGGCGTGTCGCGTCGGGCCAGCCGGGGAAGTGGCACCCAGGAAAAGCAACAAGCTGGTGGCTGCAGTGGAGCCCCTCAATGAAGCGGCGTACCGCAGGCCCCGACCAACGGCCCTCCCCTCTGCCGAACCCCTCCGTGTTTTTGAAGTTTATTTGCCCTGTAAACTCAAAGTTAAATCTGAAGATCATGGAACCCACAACTTATTAGAATGAATTTCATCACACCTAGGTAAAATCAACAAAGAAAATAAAATGGAAAGCTAAAGCAATAACTGTTGCTGGGACAATTTTGCAAATTTCTGTTCATGACTTAGTTGGAATGAAAAAGGTTAGGTACACGTCTTTCAGTATTTGTGTTTTCATATGCTGAATGTCATATTTTCTTTTTTCCTTGTATATTATTACCGGAGACCACAATGAGAAGTTCTGAGGTCAATAATTAAAATGTGTTTGAATTTTAGTGTTTCATGGATCAGGCATGAATGTGTGTTGTTCATAACAATCTGGCCAGAATAATGTTTTATATGATAGTATGTCAAATCTTAAATTCACAGATTTATAAATAAATTGAACCAATGATACAAGACCATCAATCTCTAGATAGTTCCTGGTGATAAAGGAACTACTTAACAATAAGAATCTCTACGTGAAGGGAAAAAGACATTAAGAAGCTGCCCTTTCTACGATGACAGACAGATGATGGACAAGCGGAGGAAGGAACCAGGAAAAGGTCCCCAGCATGGCCAAGCCCTTGTTGCACAGTTGGTCTGCTGCAGTGCACATGTTCATTCAGATAATGTTTTAGATCCTAATCTTAATCACTCCTGGATTTCCCCACTTGAGATCACTGAAATATTACTTGTACTCTGCCATTTCTATTCTGAGAAAGAAAATGAATATCATACACTCTTCTACTTTGGGAGTGACATGAAATATGAAGGGAAAAAGAAAAATATCACTGAGTATTTTGTCTATAATTCTCAATTAAGACACATTTTATTAGCATTCATGTGATAAGAGAAATTTAAAGGTTTTACTGCAAAAAATTTCATTAGAGAAGCCAGTTGGAAACCTGAGATTAACAAACCTCAACTACAGGAATGACTTATAAGATCTGTCTACATTTGAATGATATCTTCATTGATAATTATTGAAATACAATTATTCTCACTGTGAAAACAAACTCAAGAAATTTCAATCACCAAGTACAATGAAAACAAATCCTCTTTTGAAATCTGCCTTTTGCTCTCTGCTGCCTCTGGCTTCCATTCCTCTGTAGGGGAAAGTCAGCTCACTACAGCTGCAGCTTTGGTAGCAGTTTGCTAGTAACCTGGTCTCTCAAGTGTTCTCTTAGATTGTGCTTGAATAAGAGATAACCTGAGCTAACTCCATTTGTGGAATCTGTTCCGTCTTCCTCTTAGGTAGCTGGTGGGTAGAGGGTATTTGCCCTACTCAAGAGGAACTCATCTGTAAGCACGGGTGGCTCAATCACATTTTATGTCTCAAGATATTGACCAAATGACTCAAATTCTATAGCAGTTGGTAGTGGACCCACAGTAAATGACCGAGTCATGTGAAACAGAAACACCTATATTTGAGGTACTGTGAATGCTCTGGTCTGCGCTCTACCTCAGTCTTGGCTGTTTTTTTCCTCAGAGACACAAATATCAGTGTCCCAAACATAACCTTCTATTTGGCAGAGTTTGGATAAATTTCTCTCCCTAATTTCTGAGATATTATATCTTCCTTCCAAAAAGGTTTTTTAATGCAGGAAGTAAATAACAAGCAGTCTGATGAGGCAATTTCTCTTGTTATTCTTTTTTATTATTAGATTCCTAGTAAATATAAAATTCAACACATTTTAATTTACATATGTGATACTGGGCTGCCAACTCAGAGTTAATAAAAATTAGATGGTAGAAACATCATTTTCTGATGCTCATTAACCCTTTTGTTATAACATTATGTTGCCTCTTTCTGTACAGGTATATCCCTTAAACTTTTTGTCCAAGAATATTTTGGGGTGTTTTTACTCTTAACCTTGACTTTATAAAAATACTTTAATATTTTACTTTCCATCAGAAACCACCACCACTCTGTTCCATAATTTCCTCATGGCATTTTTTACCTCCTTATTCCTGAAAGTATAAATCAAAGGATTGAGCAAGGGAGTCAGGATGCCGTAAACTACTGCCACCATTTTATCAGAGGAGAAAGTAGATGGAGGTCGTGCATATACATATATGCATGGGACAAAGAACAAAACCACAACAGCAATGTGAGATCCACAGGTAGACAGAGCTTTTCTTCGCCCTTCAGAACTATGAGTTCTCAGAGAGAACAAGATGACACCATAAGACACAAGCAACAATGAGAAGATTATAATGCAGAAAAACCCACTGTTGGCCACTGCAAAAAAGCCAAAGACGTGAGTGTCATTGCAGGCAAGTTCCATTAATGGATACAGGTCACACAAGAAGTGATCAATGACATTGGGACCACAGAAGGACAACTGGAAAATAAACACTATTTGTACCATGGAATGCAAGAAGCCTCCTGTCCAGGCTACTCCCATCAGAATGCCACAGAACCTGGAGTTCATGATGGAAGAGTAATGCAAAGGCTTGCAAATGGCCACATACCGATCATAGGCCATGGCTGTGAGGACAATCACCTCTGCCCCACTAAAGAAGTGTTCACCAAAAAGCTGCATCATGCAGCCTGCAAAGGAGATGGTTTTCCTCTCATAGAGGGAGTCCACGATCATCTTCGGGGTGAAGACAGAGGAGTAGCATGCATCTAGGAAGGACAGGAAAGCCAGGAAGAAGTACATGGGGGATCCCAGTAGAGCAGGGCTGCTGAGAATGGTTACTACAATTAGCGTATTGCCCCCAATAGTGGCAATGTAGACAAACAAAAATACAACAAATAATATTTTCTGGATGTTGGGATTGTGTGAAAGCCCAAGGAAGATGAACTCAGTTACAAAGCTTTGATTATACATGATTTCCAAGGAAAAGCTGAAATCTAGAACAGTGATCTGCGTGTATCATCTGCAGTTATGACAAAGAAATATTTGCTTCCGTTCAATTTATAGTATTATAGTCATCAATACGTTGGTGTATCCATATACAAAATTATCTCAAGTGTATCAGTTGTCACTTGGAGCACCAAATTAAAAATTGTTGAAGGTGTTAGTGAAAGGTCAGGCAGATTTCGGTTGGAGATAAATTACTGAATGCCTTATAAGAGGCCACGTTTCAATATGGGGGAAAGAGAACATCCAATATCGTACAGAAGAGAAATAGTTTTCATCTAAAGTGCCAGCTTTGATCATTTACTAGTGGCTTCCTGGAGTGAATTGTTGAGAAGCATTCTGAAATCGCCTTTGAGTTATGAGAAAACGAGGTCTGTAATTTATTAGTGATGACTGCAAGGCATGGAATGGGACCAGCATGACATCCTAACCTGGTGAAGGCTTCACCTACAAATAGAAGAAGAAATAGCATGCAGTATAAAAGCCACTTAAAAATCATAGCCACTGCTCACAATAGTCTTTGAAAGTCTGAACTGTATCGGGCCTTTAAATGAATTTAGTCATTGTTGATAAAAGAATAATCTGTGGAAAATTTCTAGCTATAAATTAAATACATAAAAGGTATGGACTAAATATTGAGCTGATTTTTAAATTGGCATTTTAAAATGAAAGGTTTATAAAAATAATAATGTCAATACCAGAGTTTTGTCATGGTGACTAAGTGAAGTAAGGTGGGGCTCAGGACCCACTGCCTAGAACATAGTCCATGATATTCCTATTGTCCCTGTTTGATTGGTGAGAAACTCATGCTTATAGAAGCTAAGTTCAAGCAAACAACAGATGATTGATCTGGGCTTTGCAAACAGAACTTCTGGCTCCAGCACCCACTGGATCAACAGGGAGAGGAGTGGGATTTTCCTTTTTAGCAAGAACTTCAGAGCAGGGCTGAATGTACAAACTGATAGCCACCAGATATGCTTACAAGACATAGTCTTGAGGCTTTATTAATTATTTGCCAATTATTTACACAATGTGGTCACGTCTGATCAGGTATAACTACTAAGGATATACATGTTTCAAATTTATTTGATATTACTGTAAAGCAAAGAGGTATGTATGTATTAATAGCTTAACTCCTCATCTCCCGGGATTATAAAGTAGGTCAAATTTGAAAATGTGAAATTGTTTCTAATGATAACATGTCCTTGTGAATCATAGTTACTAGTAACTCAGTTACGAAGCCATCCATCTTACCCAGAGAAAGCTTCAGAATGAGTTATCCAGACAATTATCCAGCCACTGACTTCATTTTCCACAGGAAGACACAGCTTCTCAGGATGGTTGTATCATCATCTATATGTATAACTGAAATGCCTCAGTCAATTAGCACATATATATATATATATATATATATATATATATATATCTGTGTGTTAATATTTGCATACGTATGCATACATATGTTTGTTAAAAATAGGTGAATAAAAGAAAAATAGGATTTATTGTGAGGCTTACAAATAAGCTGATTTTTATGAATGCCACTTAGAGTTAACAGAAAGAATCAAATGTTAATAAACTAACAAATACACTATTGTGTATGTTAATATCTGTCCTTTGGCACACTTTAAAACAACTATTTCCATTAGGTTTCCATGGTCATTCCTACTGGTGTCTGCACGATAAACCCCATATCCAGTTATAAGTTGTTAGCAAGGTAACAAGAGTTCAACCAAACCCTATAAGATCTTGGGGTCAGTCAACAGCCACTGATTACAAAGCAAAAAATATCAATATATGACCCTGCAGTGCTCAGCTTAGCTTTGGACCAAAGTAGGAATGACAAGGAAGTGAAATGAATAAGATCATCAGCTCCAGACTTACACAGACGTGGGTTCAAATCCAGGATCTTCAAATCCAGGTGGAACATGTTACTGAAAATTCTTCAAATTCTCAAAGCCTCAGCTGCCACTTCTCTAAGTGGGTAGAATAAGAATGTCTATTGATAGGGTTCTTGTGAGAATCAGATAAGACAACACACTCAAAAACATGGATGCAGTAACAAGCATGGAAGGTCATGATGAATGGTGAG